ACCCAATAAAAACAGCAGGCAATGCACGGGGGGAAATTTATGTCTGGTTTTGGGTAATGCAGAGCTATAGCAGAGACAACCAAAGTTGCGAAGATGGTCATAAGATGGAGGCTTATTACAGAGGAGTTCAAAAGGGGATTTGGAGGCAAGATGGGGAGATGGGGGGCGATTGATGAGGTAAACGGCAGTAAGTATGCAGTCCTGCCAATATGGTAAGGGAATATGGGATTGGAATTGAAGAGCTCTTGCTACATTCGGAAGATGCTGGTGCTTGCGTTCTACAACATAATTCTGCCGAGGGTGGTCTACACAGGAGTGAAAAACTTGGATGCCTTTAGAGGAGAAAAAGGAAGACAAGTGGAATTCAGGGGCATTGTCACAACGAAGGGATTTAAATGGTAAGGGATATTGGGTATGGATCAGATTATAAAATGATTGAAAGACAGAGGAGAAATCAGATTTGTTTTGCAAAAAATATGTCCATGTAAATCTTGTGGCATCATCCACAATTGTTAGAAAATATTGAGAACCCTGTACAGAGATGGTATGAAATGACCCCCACATATCACAATGCAACAGATCAAAAGGAGATGCAGACAACTTTGGGTTTAAAATAAATGGGAGACGTTTTTGTTTTGCAAGTGGACACACAAAACAGTGGTGATCAACATTTAAATTTGCAAAAAAACCCAAATTAAATTTCGTGGAATTTAAAACGGAAATAGACAGATGCCCTAATCTTGAGTGCCATAGAATAGGGTCTTTCACAGTTAAAGAAAAACAAAGGGAACGGGGAATAAAATCTGGGGGAAGGGGATTTTTACTGTCAAGGATATAAAGATCACCAAATCTTTTAGCAATCCCAATCGTCCTTTATGAAGCATGATCCTGAAGAATGCAATGAGAGTTAGAGAAATTAGCAAAAAAAGAGGAATCACGGGTCATGGAACTGATCGATAAAAGATTAAACAAAAAAGATGAAACACAAAGTACATGATATAGGGTGAAAAACGTAAAGATGGATACTGAACCAACAGCGGTAACCATCGCAGAAGAACCATTAAGAAAGGAGACTAGGGAATTAGATGAAGATGATGATGAAAGAATATCGGGTGAGGTACAGACGTGATATGTGGCACCGGTGTCCAAAATCCAACAGAAGAAAGGTAAAACTATAGGGGACGTACCGCTGAAACTAGCCACAGACGGGGAAGACTCGACAATGGAGGGAATGGAGATCGAAGATGAAGATGCAGAGTTTTGTTGTATCAACGCAAGCAGCTGGTTGTATTGACTTGGTGTAAATGCAAGAGGAGCTTCAGAGTGGTTGGGAGTAGGTGCCGAAATGTGTGGCTGTGAGGTAGGAGAAAATTTGTGGCTGTAAGGGACAGATTGAGCAAAATGGGCTTGGGCTTTTTTGGATGTGAAGGGAAATTGGGCTTAGGAACCCTGGGTTTGTACCCATGGAGTTTGAAGCATTTTTCTCTCGTATGACTGGAGAGATTGCAGAAGGTGCAAATAGGTCACGAACGGCGTTGGACAGCAGCCACCGTGGAAATGGACGGAGGAGGTGAGGCAACAAAGTTAAGGAGAGGAGTATCTGGTGCAGCCGGAGTTGGCAAGGCGACGGAGAGCTGACGTTGACGCTCTTCTTGTAGAACCATGGAGAAGACCTTGGTGAGCGACGACAATGGTTCAAGCAACAAAATCTGAGCACAGACAGATGAAAAGGATTCATTGAGTCCAATAAGAAACTGAAATACATGATCTTGCTCCTTTCTGGTACCAATTTCGCGAAGCGCACCACAAGTGCAGGAAGGTAGAAGAATGTAATCCTGTAATTTATCCCAAAGGGATTTCAACTTGGTATAGTAACCATTAACATCAAGGGATCCTTGACACAAGGATGAAATGCGTTGTTTAAGCTGGAAGATCCGAGGACCATTCGCATGAGAGTACCGAGTCTTCAAATCATTCCAAACTTTATAGCCAGTAGAAAAATAAAGAAGGCTATCAGCAATGTCCTTAGCAACCGAGTTTAATATCCATGAGATAACCATGGAATTACATCGATTCGAAGAAGAGAAGAGTAAATCAGTGGAGGGAGGACGAACAATGGTGCCGTCAACGAAAACTAGTTTATTCTTTGCTGTTAGAGCAAGAAGCAAGGCACGATGCCAAGAGCTGAAATTAGATCCGGTTAAATAATGAGAAACCAAAATTAAGCCAGGATGGTCTCTATTTTGTAGATAATAAGGGCTGGATAATTCATCCATAGAAGATGAAGAATGTTGTTGATTTAGCAAGTGCACTAGTCAAACAAGTAATAAAATGATGAGTAAAGATCGTTCCCACGAGGATTTGTGTCAAGCATTAACTAACCAAATGTTACTAAGTTGAATCAACTGAAAAATTCTGAATTGCATTGATTTCTTGTCACCCGAAATTAAAATTGCATAAAATTAAAGAATTGATAAACAAATAAGATGTGAATATAACTTAACAAGTAGTTAGATGTCAATTTCCCTCAAGCATGAATTTATGGATGAACCAATTTCCATTATGAATTATCTACTATGTGATGTTGATCAAACTTTTTCTTATCATCTCAAGATGTAATGTCTTACTACCCTGATAAACACATTAATCAGAAACCCCAATGTCTTGGTGATTCCTTTCTTAATACATGCATTAATCACTAAGGTCTTAAGACCACATCAGAATCCTGGCATCAATGTCTTGACTACTAGAACACTAATGATGAAGTTGTTAGAAATAGAGAAACAATGTAAACATGTCTGTTCTACACTATTTATCAACATGAAGAATTAATCAAGACAACTTCATACAATCACACAATAGATAAACAAAACATCTAATTAACCATTCATAAATTCAAACTTGAGTTCCATTGAATCAGACTACAAAGGACTCTACTCAGACATAATTGAAATACAAACAAAGGAAGAAGAAAGATCAAACTCCATTGTCATGATAGTAAGTCTTCAATCTTCAAGTGCAATTACATATGAAACACTAACTAATACAACACTACTCCTAAGAATTTTGAAAGTAAGAGAGAGAAGTCAGATTAGAGGATCTGATATATGAGAGAGAGATGTGATGGATCCTCTCAGAAATGTGAAGGCCCTTGCCTTTTAAAGTGTTACAAATTATAACTGAAAACTAACATGGGCGCTAAAACGTTCTATATGGGCGTTTTAGCGTCCATGTTTGACGGATGTCCAACTACTTTCAACTAACTTGGGCGCTAAAATGTGAGCTGTTGAACGTTTTAGCGTCCATGTCTGGTGAATGCTCAACTGCTTCCAACCAACTCCAACGCTAAAACACTTGGCTTGGATGTTTTAGCGTTCGAGACCAGAGTCTTTTTGCAGCAGCAGGGCGCTAAAATGTTTGGTCAGAGAGTTTTAGTGCCCAAGACCAGCAACTTTCGTCCTTAGTTTGCAGCCGCGCACTAAAACGTTCTGTGTTGGATGTTTTAGCGCTCGGCACCAGCAAATTTTGCCTTCAAATTGTAGCAGCACGCTAAAATGGTCTGTGTGGACGTTTTAGCGCTCAACACTTGAGCATTCTCCCTTTCTCCAGAATCTTCTTCTCTCTGCTGCTCCTTGAGCTTTATTTCCTTACAAGACAATGTAGATTTTCAATAAAGCTTTCAGAACTTACACTTGAGGGATTTCCATAACCTTAACCTCTTTTTCATCCAATTAATCACACAAATTAATACAAATTCATGCTGAAAAACTTGATGAACTAGGGGTTTATCAAAGAACCAAAGGAGGTGTAGTCTGGTGGAGGGCGATTGGTGTTGTTACCATGAGCCATGGAAGAAGGCAAGGGTTAACAAGAGATCACTGATACCATATTAGTTTGTTATTACTCAGAGAAAGAAACAGATGAGGAATGAAAACTGAATATTCCATTAAGCTTGTGTAAGAAAGAAAAGTACAAGTGGTTATATATACCACAATCATAACATAATGGTGCGTCAAAGTAGCACATGTGCCATCACCACTAATACACACTACTAACAAAAATTAAGAAAACTAAAAATATAAAATGTATACTAATAGGAAGACAACCTAATTGTATGTTTAAGTGTCTGAAAATTAGAACTCTCTGCTACTTTGTTTTGGATGTTAAACAGTACTTCATACACACACACACACACACAAATACACAAAATAGTTACTTTTCTGTATTCGAGCTAATTAATTACAAATTAGAGTAATCCTAAAAAGATTAAAAATTATTCTTGTCGGAGATGTTGATGATAAAACTTTCTGGATGCCTGTGATGCCATATCACGAAGAATATATTATGAAAACTGAATTTTACATGTAGTGGTGCTATTTTAGAACCCATTCCTACAACAATATTAAAGATACTAAATATTAACATGCCTTAAATATTCCTAGAAGGAAAATGAATATTTTTGAATGAATTTACTTATTTGTGTATACAAAGTATATTTCTTACAGATGTCTTCAATTTTTTTTTTTGGGGAAGAGAAGGTGACACTGTGTACAGTATAGGGGACGTACCGCTGAAACTAGCCACAGACGGGGAAGACTCGACAATGGAGGGAATGGAGATCGAAGATGAAGATGCAGAGTTTTGTTGTATCAACGCAAGCAGCTGGTTGTATTGACTTGGTGTAAATGCAAGAAGAGCTTTAGAGTGGTTGGGAGTAGGTGCCGATAGCATTGAAATGTTAAAACTACATAATTGTGACTCATTTTTAAATGCGATATTATTAGAAAAGTCTCAAATACTGACAGAAATGTGTGGCTGTGAGGTAGGAGAAAATTTGTGGCTGTAAGGGACAGATTGAGCAAAATGGGGTTGGGCTTTTTTGGATGTGAAGGGAAATTGGGCTTAGGAACCCTGGGTTTGTACCCATGTGGGTACCCATGGATTTTGAAGCATTTTTCTCTCGTATGACCAGAGAGATTGCAGAAGGTGCAAATAGGTCACTAACGGCGTTGGACAGCGGCCGCCGTGGAAATGGACGGAGGAGGTGAGGCAACAGAGTTAAGGAGAGGAGTATCTGGTGCAGCCAAAGTTGGCAAGGCGACGGAGAGCTGACGTTCACGCTCTTCTTGTAGAACCATGGAGAAGACCTTGGTGAGCGACGACAATGGTTCAAACAACAAAATCTGAGCACGGACAGATGAAAAGGATTCATTGAGTCCAATAAGAAACTGAAGTACATGATCTTGCTCCTTACTGGCACCAATTTTGTGAAGCGCACCACAAGTGCAGGAAGGTAGAAGAATGTAATCCTGTAATTCATCCTAAAGGGATTTCAACTTGGTATAGTAACAATTAACATCAAGGGATCCTTGACACAAGGATGAAATGCGTTGTTTAAGCTGGAAGATCCGAGGACTATTCGCCTGAGAGCACCTAGTCTTAAAATCATTCCAAACTTTATAGCCAGTAGAAAAATAAAGAAGGTTGTCAGCAATGTCCTTAGGAACCGAGTTTAATATCCATGAGATAACCATGGAATTACATCGATTCCAAGAAGAGAAGAGTAAATCAGTGGAGGGAGGACGAACAATGGTGCCATCAACGAAAACTAGTTTATTCTTTGCTGTTAGAGCAAGAAGCAAGGCATGATGCCAAGAGCTGAAATTAGATCCGGTTAAAGAATGAGAAACCAAAATTAAGCCATGATGGTCTCTATTTTGTAGATAATAAGGGATGGATAATTCATCCATAGAAGATGAAGAACCAAAGGAGGTGTAGTCTGGTGGAGGGCGATTGGTGTTGTTACCATGAGCCATGGAAGAAGGCAAGGGTTAACAAGAGATCACTGATACCATATTAGTTTGTTATTACTCAGAGAAAGAAACAGATGAGGAATGAAAACTGAATATTCCATTAAACTTGTGTAAGAAAGAAAAGTACAAGTGGTTATATATACCACAGTCATAACATAATGGTGCGTAAAAAGTAGCACGTGTGCCATCACCACTAATACACACTACTAACATAAATTAGTTACACCAGAAATTAAGAAAACTGAAAATATAAAATGTATACTAATAAGAAGACAGCCTAATTATATGTTTAAGTGTCTGAAAATTGGAACTGTCTGCTACTTTGTTTTGGATGTTAAACAATACTTCATACACACACACACACACACACACACACACACACACACACACACAAATACACAAAATAGTTACTTTTCTGTATTCGAGCTAATTAATTACAAATTAGAGTAATCCTACAAAAATTAAAAATTATTCTTGTTAGAGATGTTAATGATAAAACTTTCTGGATGCCTGTGATGCCATATCACCAAGAATATATTATGAAAACTGAATTTTACATGTAGTGGTGCTATTTTAGAACCCCTTCCTACAACAATATTAAAGATACTAAATATTAACATGCCTTAAATATTCCTAGAAGGAAAATGAATATTTTTGAATGAATTTACTTATTTGTGTATACAAAGTATATTTCTTACAGATGTCTTCAATTTTTCTTTTGGGGAAGAGGAGGTGACACTGTGTACAGTATAGGGGACGTACCGCTGAAACTAGCCACAGACGGGGAAGACTCGACAATGGAGGGAATGGAGATCAAAGATGAAGATGCAGAGTTTTGTTGTATCAACGCAAGTAGCTGGTTGTATTGACTTGGTGTAAATGCAAGAGGAGCTTCAAAGTGGTTGGGAGTAGGTGCCGAAATGTGTGGCTGTGAGGTAGGAGAAAATCTGTGGCTATAAGGGACAGATTGAGCAAAATGGGCTTGGGCTTTTTTGATGTGAAAGGAAATTGGGCTTAGGAACCCTGTGTTTGTACCCATGTGGGTACCCACGGAGTTTGAAGCATTTTTCTCTCGTATGACCGGAGAGATTGCAGAAGGTGCTTATAGGTCACGAACGGCGTTGGACAGCAGCCGCCGTGGAAATGGATGGAGGAGGTGAGGCAACAGAGTTAAGGAGAGGAGTATCTGGTGCAACCGGAGTTGGCAAGGCGACGGAGAGCTGACGTTGACGCTCTTCTTGTAGAACCATGGAGAAAACCTTGGTGAGCGACGACAATGGTTCAAGTGACAAAATCTGAGCACGGACAAATGAAAAGGATTCATTGAGTCCAATAAGAAACTGAAGTACATGATCTTGCTCCTTACTGGCGCCAATTTCGCGAAGCGCACCACAAGTGCAGGAAAGTAGAAGAATGTAATCCTGTAATTCATCCCAAAGGGATTTCAACTTGCTATAGTAACCATTAACATCAAGGGATCCTTGACACAAGGATGAAATGCGTTGTTCAAGCTGGAAGATCCGAGGACCATTCGCATGAGAGTACCGATTCTTCAAATCATCCCAAACTTTATAGCCAGTAGAAAAATAAAGAAGGATGTCAGCAATGTCCTTAGCAACCGAGTTTAATATCCATGAGATAACCATGGAATTACATCGATTCCAAGAAGAGAAGAGTAAATCAGTGGAGGGAGGACGAACAAGGGTGCCATCAACGAAAACTAGTTTATTCTTTGCTGTTAGAGCAAGAAGCAAGGCTCGATGCCAAGAGCTGAATTTAGATCTGGTTAAAGAATGAGAAACCAAAATTAAGCCAGGATGGTCTCTATTTTGTAGATAATAAGGGCTGGATAATTCATCAATAGAAGATGAAGTACCAAAGGAGGTGTAGTCTGGTGGAGGGCGATTGGTGTTGTTACCACGAGCCATGGAAGAAGGCAAGGGTTAACAAGAGATCACTGATACCATATTAGTTTGTTATTACTCAGAGAAAGAAACAAATGAGGAATGAAAACTGAATATTCCATTAAGCTTGTGTAAGAAAGAAAAGGACAAGTGGTTATATATACCACAGTCATAACATAATGGTGCGTAAAAGTAGCACATGTGCTATCACCACTAATACACATCACTAACAAAAATTAGTTACACTAGAAATTAATAAAACTGAAAATATAAAATGTATACTAATAAGAAGACAGCCTAATTGTATGTTTAAGTGTCTGAAAATTGGAATTCTCTACTACTTTGTTTTGAATGTTAAACAGTACTTCACACACACACACACACACACACACACACAAAATAGTTACTTTTCTGTATTCGAGCTAATTAATTACAAATTAGAGTAATGCTAAAAAAATTAAAAGTTATTCTTGTCAGAGATGTTGATGATAAAACTTTCTGGATGCCTGTGATGCCATATCACGAAGAATATATTATGAAAACTGAATTTTACATGTAGTGGTGCTATTTTAGAACCCTTCCTACAACAATATTAAAGATACTAAATATTAACATGCCTTAAATATTCCTAGAAGGAAAATGAATATTTTTGAAAGAATTTATTTATCTGTGTATACAAAGTATATTTCTTAGAGATGTCTTCAATTTTTCTTTTGGGGAAGAGGAGGTGACACTCTGTACAGTATAGGGGACGTACTGCTGAAACTAGCCACAGACGGGGAAGACTCGGCAATGGAGGGAATGGAGATCGAAGATGAAGATGCAGAGTTTTGTTGTATCAACGCAAGCAGCTGATTGTATTGACTTGGTGTAAATGCAAGAGGAGCTTTAGAGTGGTTGGGAGTAGGTGCCGGAATGTGTGGCTGTGAGGTAGGAGAAAATTTGTGGCTGTAAATAGGTCACAAACGGCGTTGGACAGCAACCGCTGTGGAAATGGACGGAGGAGATGAGGCAACAGAGGTAAGGATAGGAGTATCTGGTGCAGCCGGAGTTGGCAAGGCAACGGAGAGCTGGCGTTGACGCTCTTCTTGTAGAACCATGGAGAAGACCTTGGTGAGCGACGACAATGGTTCAAGCAACAAAATCTGAGCACGGACAGATGAAAAGGATTCATTGAGTCCAATAAGAAACTAAAGTACATGATCTTGCTCCTTACTGGCACCAATTTCGCGAAGCGCACCACAAGTGCAGGAAGGTAGAAGAATGTAATCCTGTAATTCATCCCAAAGGGATTTCAACTTGCTATAGTAACCATTAACATCAAGGGATCCTTGACACAATGATGAAATGCGTTGTTTAAGCTGGAAGATCCGAGGACCATTCGCCTGAGAGTACCGAGTCTTCAAATCATTCCAAACTTTATAGCCAGTAGAAAAATAAAGAAGGTTGTCAGCAATGTCATTAGCAACCGAGTTTAATATCCATGAGATAACCATGGAATTACATCGATTCCAAGAAGAGAAGAGTAAATCAGTGGAGGGAGGACGAACAATAGTGCCGTCAATAAAAACTAGTTTATTCTTTGCTGTTAGAGCAAGAAGCAAGGCACGATGCCAAGAGCTGAAATTAGATCCGGTTAAAGAATGAGAAACTAAAATTAAGCCAGGATGGTCTCCATTTTGTAGATAATAAGGGCTGGATAATTCATCCATAGAAGATGAAGAACCAAAGGAGGTGTAGTCTGGTGGAGGGCGATTGGTGTTGTTACCACGAGCCATGGAAGAAGGCAAGGGTTAACAAGATATCACTGATACCATATTATTTTGTTATTACTCAGAGAAAGAAACAGATGAGGAATGAAAACTGAATATTCCATTAAACTTGTGTAAGAAAAAAAAGTACAAGTGGTTATATATACCACAGTCATAACATAATGGTGCGTAAAAGTAGCACATGTGCCATCACCACTAATACACACTACTAACAGAAATTAGTTACACCAGAAATTAAGAAAACTGAAAATATAAAATGTATACTAATAGGAAGATAGCCTAATTTTATGTTTAAGTGTCTGAAAATTGGAACTCTTTGCTACTTTGTTTAAGATGTTAAACAGTACTCCTTATCCTAATTATTCTTTGGGTAAGGCTATTGTCATGTTACGAGACAATGATTTTCTTGCAGAGACATCCTATAGATGGGTCTTAGGAAAACATTTTCTCTGATCTCATTTTCTCTTCTTTCTCCTACATTTTTCTCTTTGCAGGAAAATGGTTCTATTTCCTGTAACATGACAATTGTATTACCCTTATTCTTTTGGACAATGATATTTTTATGGTACCTCCTTGATATGGGCAAAAAATGGGGCTTTGAAAGGTAAGTCAAGAAATATTGATAATTATCCAACTCTAACTCTAAAAGTTCTCTCCAAGATTTAAATCCGTGCTTTTTTGGCAATTCATCTATCATGAAACTCAAATTACCACTTAAACCAATCATCAGGTTTAAAAGTTGCAATCGAAGGCAACCACAATTGCTTTCGGTGGTCCAATAGTGTTATTAAATCCGAATTGGGCATCGACCTGGTCGGGGTACTGGGTAACTGGGTTATTGGTCGGATCGGTTGACCCGGATATATATATATATATATATTTATATATATGAACATATAAATTTAATTATATTTTCTATATCTAAAATGAGTTAAACAAGATTCACTAAATAAGCTCAAAAATTATCCAATCACACTTTTACAAGTTCATAAGGCACAAATAAGTGAAAATGCACGCTATTACTATGTCAATTTGAATTGCAACTTATAACAACCCTCATAACCAAGTTAGGTTAAATAAGGAAATCAAGTAAGAGTTCAGTAGATCAAAGGGTGTTTATAGAAATTGTGATCAATTGTGTCAAGTAATGATCTGTTGATCATGAAATTGATATAATGAGATACAGAGAGATATATTTCATGCCAAGCAAGTCATATAGTATATGAATTTTATCCAATCCTAGTAGAATCAATTATAATTCATAAACATAAACAAAATATCTGGAGAAATCCCCTGCGGATCGGATCATCCATATAATATACAAACAGAAACCTGTCAGAAGAAAAAGAACGGTTGGCTCTTGGCAAATGATTATTCATCTGCTTCTCACGTTCCATGAATAGTCGGCATATATGTATGAAAAGAATTCAGGACGTATATGTCATTATAGAGAAAGTTATGAATTACTTGAAAAATAGACTAGATGTGGTCAAAACTTGAATTGGATGTCATCATTAAATTCTTTAGAGAATTTGGTGATTCCAATATGATCTTGGATTAGTCTAATGATGATTAGATTAATAATTAAAAATGAGTCAAAGTTTAAATAATTAAAAATGAGTCAAAGTTTAAGGAAAATCAACCAATAAGAATGTAAATAAGTCAAAGTGACTTAAAAGTAAGCAAAACTAGTCTTAAACTTGAATTAGATGACATAATTAAGTTGTGTGGTAAATTTCATTGCGTCAAGGTATCTTTGGATTAATCTAATGATGTTTAGTTTAATTGTTAAAAATGTTACAAATTATGAAATTAATTAGCCAATAGAATTAAAGATAACTAAGTTATTGTAAAAACTAACTAGTTAATATGTTATATAGTTACTAGTTAATAAAAAATCTAATTTCTCCTTGTCTTCTAAGGTTCCAAATCAGTGCACAAGTGGTAGGAAATGAGTGAAGAAAGTGTGTAGAAAGTGGTCCAATAGGAAGCCAACAAATCAAAGGAGAATAGCCTTAAAAATCAACAAAAGTGGCTTGATGTTCTCTTGCAAAAACAAGTCGGTTCCCCTTTTTTTTAACAGAAAAAATTCTGCACTTGTGCCATACATAAACTGTGACCACCATGGGAGTCTTGGGAGCTTAAGAACTTGCTTTTCTAGTCACTAAAATTCATAGATACTTTGAGAGAAAATCATCCTTATAGTTAGTAGAACATAACCATGACTTTTAATCTTTGAGAGGAGCTTCACACGTTCTTCTTTTCTTCTCTTTTTCTTATGACCTCATAGCTGCCATCCATGGAAAGTGAGGTGTTTTCATGTCTTGTTGATGGGAAATTAAGGAAATAGGCACAAAGGAGTGGTTTAAGGTAACTAACTACCTTTCTTAAGCTTAATTTCATGGATTTTGATTTAGGGTTTTTGAATTGGGGCTGACTTTGTATGATGTTAACTCATGTGTATATGTTATATTTTGGTATTTGATGAGTATGGAATTGATTGGATTAAGTTTGAATCATTTGAAGAGATATAATTTTCGTGAAACCCTTGAAACCTCAAATTTCCCTATTTTCAAAAATTTATATCTGGAGTTGTAGAACTCTAAATTGAGTGGGGTTTGTTTCAAATTAAAGGAACACATGTCAAGTTTGACATATTAAAATTTCAGTGCAAATGTATGTAAAGTGGGCTTTTTGGACTGTTTTGTGTAATTAAATGATGTTTGGTGTTATGAGTTTGTATTAAGGTTAAATGGAACTTAAGTTACAAGTATTAAGCTTTAAAAAATGTGAATTTATGTGACATATGGGTTCGGCCACTTAGTGGTTTAATGGATTAAAAATCAAGTTGTTTAACGATGGAACTTGGAAATGAATTTGAAATATGTTTCAAGTAAAATTAGTATGATGAATCTTCAATTGGTAAATATGATGAAGTAGATTTTATATTATGTAAGTATAGGTCAAGATGTGGGTATCTAAATATGGCTTGAGGTATGGCATGAAATTATCTAAAATAGTTAGTAAACAAGTATTGTAATGTGTAGCAGGTAATAAGGTGATTCCAAGTCAGGATACTGTGAATTTTGGAAAAATTACTTGTATACCAAGTAAATGTGATATAAAATCACTGATAGGTAAGCTCTTTGTTAGGAGTTTTCCTCCGTCTTTGTTGTTCCGTCAAAATCCATTAAGGATTATGGTTAAATTGTGTATGTGATTGACAGTGAGATATTTGGTATATATGCATACATGTGCATTCATATAGACAGATACATTGTTGATGTGTTTAATTGATGTATATTGATGATGTGTTTAATTTATGTACATTGATATTGTGATGTGATATAACGCAAGTAGGCAGGTAGAAAGAGAGATAACGAAAGTACAAATCTTTCGTAGTAATAAAGGAGGATAGCGGAAGTACATATCTTCCGTAGTAAAAATATAAAAACGGATAGCGAAAGTATAAATCTTCCGTAGTATTAAGATTAACAAGAAATCAAGACGTAGAAAGGTGATTGAGTAATTAAGACGTAGAAAGGTGATTGAGTAATTGATACATAGAAAAGTGATTGAGTAATCAAGACGTAGAAATGTGTTCCTAGCTATATAATACTATTAAATTATATAAAAGGCATGGAAGAATAAATCTTCCGTATATAAAAAGTAGGGAAGAATAAATCTTTCGTATGTAAAGGCAAGGAAGTATATCTTCCGTATATAAAGAAAGGGAAATATAATTTTTTGTATTATAAAAAGCAGGGTAGTAAAATCTTCCGTATTACAATGAGCGGGGAAGTATAGATCTTCCAAAATATAAAGCAATGGGATATAGGGAAGTCTAAAGCTTTCAAAACAGACAGTGAGATAAAGTTAGTGAGATAAAGACAATGAGATAAAGTCAGTAAGATATATTAATAAAATTACATGTTATATTATATGCTTTATATCTGACCTTTCATGCAGATAGTGAATTCTTGGGTGGAGACTACTCCATAAACCCAGAGTCTTATTGGGATTCATTTCTCACCCCGTCGTGGGGCTGTAATTTAAATTACAGGTACATCAGCAACAAGAGAACTAGCAAAGGGCAAATGACTAGTTCAGTGAGTATAACACCTCGTATTTCTAAATGTATAATTATATGTGAAAATGTGGATTAAAGGGGAAGGATTAGTGAAAATTCTGGAATTAGGGTCAAAATACGTAAAAGGGCAAAATGGTAATTTACCAAACATGTGACCCTAGGCATGAAAAATTGAGTAGAAGGTCTTAAATGGTAAAAATAACGGCAAAAATGGATTCAAGACGAAAATTCAAGTGGATAGGGAAGTTTCGAAAAATTTGATGAATAGTGATTTTTTTCGGTGTAAAATATTGCGGTATAATTGTACCGATAAGTGCGAAATTATGATCAGTATTTTTAGGAAGTAAAAATATGACGTGAACAAGAAAAATACGTAGGATATGAATTTGTGGGTTAAATTGGGTGATTTAAGAAAGTTAAGTGATGTGTGGAACCCACCTAAGTGATTTAAGTGACTAAAGTGTCAAAAGGTCACAAATTTCTGAATTTCTCTCTCCTCTCCTCCTCTTTCTCCCGTGAGCTTCTCCATGGTTAGGGCCATTGAAGCTTTTGATTTCTAACTATTTTTTGTAGACACTTTTAGGAGAAACTTTCAACTACAAAGTTGTTCACTTTGAGATTGTGAGTGACTTTCATGTAGAGCGCATCTTGTGGGGAGCAATGTGTGAGGAGAAAACCCCCCATTTCAGCCACGAAAATTGATGAATTTTGGAGACTTTGGTGTTGAACCATTGGTTAGAGATCATTCCCTGGGACCATTGGAAGCTATTGGTGATAAGATTTCTCACTCTCTTTGAGTTTTCATGGAGATCATAAATTGGGTGAGGGTTTTGAATTTGTAAGTTAAGTTATGGTAGTTAGGAGCATTAAATGGTATGTCTCATTTGAAATTAAATGCTTAGAATGATAAATGATG